TATGGCTTCTAACCGACGTCAGTGGCGATCTTGTCAGTTTCTATCCAGATTGCCTGAATGAGTGTTTGGAGGTGTAGGCACCTCGGAATTATTTTGGTAAGCTAGCACTGAATCTATTCCCCGTCCACCCTTATTCTTTTCTTTAGAAAAAGGCTTTCAAATAAGTCATGGCTGTATGGCAGTGAAGCATCGGTCATGCTGTCGATGATGATTATCAATATAAGCTCCTCGTGTGTGCAGTCGGTTTTATGTGTTTACAGCATTGTTCGGAAGCTTGCAACGGAAGTTCCAACAGCTGTTTCGACGCGTACGCCAAATGGGTACATTGGAACGGTGGTGATCAGAGGGGAGACTCGAAGCTCTTGACAAAATCCTCTTATTCGTTTGGCCCAAAGGAGGCCTGTTTTCATGGCAGGGGAAAAAAGGGGCAAGGGCTGGTAAGTCTATGGGCAACGGAAGTTCCAACAGCTGTTTCGACGCGTACGCCAAATGGGTACATTGGAACGGTGGTGATCAGAGGGGAGACTCGAAGCTCTTGACAAAATCCTCTTATTCGTTTGGTCCAAAGGAGACCTGTATTCATGGCAGGGTAAAAAAGGGACAAGGGATGGTCAGTCTATGGCTTAGAACCTTGGCCAATAAGCGCAGTCGCTCAATTGACTGCCCACTCTGCAGACTAAGGTGGGTCAGTTACCGGTAACAGCAGGCATATGCATGTTACGTGGTCACCGGCACTCTTGCGCCAAAGCTATCGATCATTTTCACAATTCAACCCACCTGAACTGTTCAAAATCAGTCTGTTAGGCCATCGCTTCCAATACATGTCTACAGCTTACTCTGATTTCTCGGTGGACCAAACAGCATGATCTGAAACTAAGGTAGCTGAATAATTAAAGGGAAGTTTCCACAGAAATTGGGGGGTCCAAAGCAGTTAATGGACTAGAACTTGGAGCCACTTCGTATCACTCACTTTCTGACTCTGCTCCGACGAGTATCACCAGAGCTGTGACAGCAATTAGAAGTATGGGATCATCTCCTTCGATTTTCTATCTGGAGCAGACTTTATTCAGCAAATACTGATGAGGTGACAGAATCACCTTCTAAGACTTTGGTGCATTTCCTCAATGGATTTGTGCTTTCCAACTAGAATACAGCACGAGAAGCCCAACCTACCCACAAAGCTATTCCAAAATCCCATCTGATCGTAAACCAGTGACCCTTACCTGGCTTCTAAGTTGGGGTCCATATTTCCAAACGCACGACAGTTTGTCTGAAGAGCATCTGTATTTTGTGGGAAGGTATCACTGGTGAGATGTCGTATCTCGACAAAATACTGTAAAAGCGGACCAAATGGTGAAGGCTAATCACTTACCAAAACAACTAACTTTGTTTTAAAGCCATAATTACTGGTTAGTCACCTGACGACTTTTCGTCACTGATCGTCAGCTTGCTCGATCTTGGAGAACAGAGATGCTTGCCTGCTACTCTAGGTAATAGGCACACTCCCGAGCTAGAAAGGATTTCTTTAGCGGAGTTCGATCAAGGCAATCGGTCCTCGATTATTTCTTGAGGTAGATGGAAGCGGCCTTATTGATAGGTGGAATCAGTATGCCATCAAGTCACGCAGTGGAATTTGAAAATGCGTGTGTCCACTCTTTCGGTGACATGCTATCCCAAACTACGGACGGTTCGTTGTTGCCGGACGTAGCAATACAACTGCGGGTCACCGGATCTCAGCGTCATATTGCTTATTAGGGAGAATAAAGTTATGCATGTTTTGAGAGGCCATGCTCCGTAGGATATAACAATGACTTCAATAAGTGACTGTAAGTTCGGCCTTCTTAAAGCGTTTTCTCTGTCAAAAAGGATGGAGGACACGAAACGGGATACATCGATTTCACAGACTCCTAAGCTTCAGATCCTGTTGTACCATCTGTACGCAGATTGTATGAAGCAAATGGCACTCGTGGGGCCCTCGAAGGGCTCTTTTCGCACAACCACATGAAGGGTGGAAGAGAGCCAGAGGCGTCAAACAATGACTTAGCAGCGAAGTATAAAAGCCATTACCAGCAAACTCAGCTGCACTGGTCAGTGCCGTCTTCCTGGATGGGGACCCCAAGACGGGTCACATCAATGGCTAGAGACATTGTTAGACATGGCCCAGTCGCCCCCTCAATGGCGCTCGTGCATCCAAGCTATTGCCTTCAATGCATAGCTCCTTTTCCAACCCTCCTCCCACTTGACAACCCACTGACAGTGCTGGATTTATGCACCAATTTATCAGCTCCCGCCTGCAATGCGCGGCTACCTACCCACCCCCCTCTCAAATCATCGGTGAACGAAACTGCGGCAGCTACAACCACTGTACGACCAGTACGCGGTTAATTCAGCCGACAATGATGATGACAATACTCGTGGTTGTTGAAAAATCGGCAACAATTGATGTATGTGTATCTCTAACCGTTTGACCACAACGATACAGACAGAAGTGCGCTATTGTTTACGCTGAGCAGCTCCTTGTGTGCGTAGAAGAGAGTTTAGCGACAGTTCTTTAACACCACCCGGCAGGTCAAATTCAGTGAAACATTACTATCGTGTCAGTCGATCAGCTGATTCGTAGTGCAGCTGAATCGATTGCAATCAGGTCGCTGAATTTGATCCTCTGCACGCAAAACAAATGAACTCAGTCGAACAGCTGGCTATCGACCCACCAACCGAGATTCATTGTCACAAACTGACACGTGGATACCTATCTGGTCATCCATTCATTTCTGGACCTTTATTTCAAGCTTGCGTTCACCATCATTTCTTAATGGTCCACTCTGCGAATTAGAAGCTCGAAATGACTACCGAAACCCGTAGTGCTTGCTGAATTCTGTACTATGTTTTATTCCTTACGGACGACACTTAATTCAAGACGTTTTTATCGGGCGAGGGAAGTGATCACAACGACATCCTTGTTCTTCGGAGCACACAAGGCTAGGTGACGTAAACTGGTTACGGAACATTGCGAATTTAACGTGACCTCAACATGACCGTTCAGTGCGAGCAGGAAGTAAAGAGACCTGCAAACTTATCCTTTTCTTGGGATATTTATACCTTCTCGTATCGGGTATCAGCCACATTTGCGTGACCTTCTTTAAAGTACTTCCAAACACTGTTAGATACTGGATTTCAAGGCACTACTTAACTCTGTCCTGATATTCACGTAGGTATAGGGCAAAATCACGTCGACCAATGTTACATATGAACAAAGTGCACAGGGTGACTAACTGATTGCTCTATTTTTTCACTCCATGTGGTGCGCTTTCTGAGTGGGGATCCAGTTACTCCCCTTCCTGCACGAAATGATGTCTAACCGATGCCAATGCCTTCCGTTGTGTCACTTTCATCCCACACTGTCCGATTAGGCGTTCAGAGCTGCAAGCACCTTGGGATGTTTGCAGTTGACCGGCACAGTCTTATTAAATAAAGCATGAAATCTCAACAGAACGTGTTACTCGTAAGAGTGTTGAGAACTCTTCGATAACCGATTCTCCATTCTTGGGGCTCATCAGTCCCAAGTTTTCATCAGCCTTGTCTTCGTATTGAGCACCAAGCTGTATGAAATCGAGTTTCTCGTCAACAGTGACTTAATTTGTAAGTGAGTAAGTGGGTGAGTCACTCGCACACAAGCTGATGTTTAGCTTGAGCTTAAGGTTGATGGAAACAAGGAGACTGAGCCTAGTTGATGAGCCACATTGGAGCGAAACCGATAGTGAACTCTCGAGGACACTTAAGCAACTTTATGAGAAGTGCGTTTTGCGGAATCTCGATCTTACAGCACATTCAGTTGAAGAATAGCTTAAACGAGCTGTGCACTTAAGTCTCTCGTTCCTGCCAGTCTAGTTTTCTGGTCGTACGCTAGTGAAGTATGAACACTGGTCTGATGATGACGTCATCAGTCACAAGTAAATATTTATAGTGGTGTGAGTTATTTGTTCATTTCCAGTTGGGGTTTCGTACTGTAAGAGAAGTCAATCTATGGTGAAAAGCTTAGAAAAAATACACTGCCGCTTCATCCCTACTGGGACTCACCAGTACTGCGTATCTCACGAGACTCCAGAGAGTTTCTAACCCACAACGCTCTGTTCTGCCAGGAGCTGCTGATCTGCTTTGTGGTTAAATTGCAATTTCGTGAGATGAGCACTGTTGAGGATCTCCCATAGGGATGACAGCTCTACAGCGCTCCTCGGGTTTCAGCATGGTGAGACTTCATTTGCAGAACAAACTCTTAGTTGAAATCAACAGTCGCTGTTTAATTCTATCTGACCCTAATCCAGTACCTACCGGTTTTTCAGACAAGGA